TGCAGGCAAATCGCACATGATTCCTCGAGGAGACCAGAATTCTCAGGTTCAGAACTCAAAAGCCTGTGATAAAGCGTTCGAGTAAACACGCATGCTTGCCATGACCTTCTCAGCCCCTGCACAAGTCCACCGCGTTACGGTATCAGCAGCGCATTAGCTTCCAATGGCTAACTCTTGAAAGGAGTGCAAATGCGAGCAGCCAACTGCCAAGGATGACATTGCTCTCTGCGTGCCCTGTGCATGGTTCGGGCTGGACCATGTCCACATTCACTGACAGAAACTTTATGCTCTGGAGCTTGCTACTGGAGATCATTGCATCACAAACATATCATCATTATAGTATGCAGGAGGCTGTTGCCAGGGAAGGGCAAGGCCAAGAGTGCACAGGCAGTAGAAGCCCCAAGAAGGAGACTGGACCCTTGCAGAATGATGCTGATGTTGTTGATGCAAGGGGGCTGGGCCGGCTGTGGACGCAACCTCCCTAGCCACGGCCCTGCGGTGGATGGTACAGCGCGCCCGTGGATGCTCCAGGGCGAACCAAATACCTGAAGTCCCCTTATAAGGGCCTCTTAAAAGCACCCTTAGCAAACACGACAAAACACGCTTTGGAAGAACTTCTGGCGTTTCAACCAAACAGGAAAAATCTTAAGGATGCCCTAGATGCCCGCAGTGGTGGTAGCACCTCACAGCGAGACTCCGCAGCTTGCAACTGATTATTCTTATTGCGCTTTGATACAACTATAAGGATGCAAGTACCCTGATTGGAATCATTCCAGCTAAGCTTTATGTTGCCCGCCTAGCCGATCCAACTTTGCAATGAACATGGCTGGACACGAGACCAGTGAAACAAGCCTTTACCCGGCGTACGCGCATTTGCAAGAGCAGGTTGTCACAACGGATATGAGCATGTCATCTCTTCACATGTGCGGTCTAATTACGGGCAACCCATGGATGCAAGCAAACGCCACATGCAAAGGACTTTTGTTCGTGCAGCCGGGGCACCTTCCTTCCACAGATCAGAAGCACCAGACACAGCAGCTTCATCAACACCCCAAATCGTGAAGGAACGGATGCCGAAGAAAACGCCAAAGTTCCAAGGATCAAGATGCCCATTTTGCATTTGAAGCCGTATCCATCTAGTAGGCTCCTGCCAACCGCTGACATGAACTTCTCCGTTGAATTCGCTCACGGAAGGTATGGATTTGCTGTTGCTGCGCTCAGTCCAGGACCCTGATTTCTCCCGACGGCTTGAGAGCTGCCACTTGTCTCCCATTGACTTGGCCCACCAGGTCCACGCTACAGAATCCACGATCGTTTCTTCCAGAAGCTCGAACATAACCCAAGCCTCCTGCTCACCTTTTGCCGCAAACCATTCGGTGTCGTAGTCGGCATCAACCATCCTCTGCGCTCCCCGGCCCTGGTATGTACTGCTGGCTGTTGCTAATGGTGTCAGTTCAGCTATGGCCGGCCTGCGCCGAACAGTCACCGGTGAACCGTCCACAGCACCCTCCACAGCAGCACTGGGAAGCCAAGCAGCTACCCGCACTTGGGAGATGGCAGCAGACAACTCAAGCCACCATCGCAGGGCAGACCCCTCAGCCCCAACCTTTGTGCCAGCTGGCTGCCAGCTGCCCAAAACGAAGAAACTTTCAAACTTAAAACCCCTAAACCCAAGCACCCTAAACCCCACTGGCCCTACTGCCTGCCGAGGTGCCTCGTAGGTTTGAGCTTTCCAGATGGCGGACACGCCACCACAATCCACTTGAGAATTCGCCACGGCAATACAGGGAACAACTGGGTGCCACAAAAAATCAAGCAAGCCATGCTCCAGAAAAACAAAGCGGATGTACCGGTCAACTTCTGCATGTCTATTCCCTGTCCTACTTTTTCTACCGAGGGACACTCTTGCGATGACGCAGGTCGGACTGCCATAAACTCCAGCGCAATGTCGCTAGCTCGCATCCTGCAATTTGCACGGCGTGCAGCTGGTACTGCCTGCTTTCCTACTGGGTGTGCGGGCTCGAACGGAACACCCGAAGGCTCAAAGGTGCCCTTGACCTTGAAAGTTCGATCACCGGCAATATGAGCAACCCCACGACGAACCCGAGAAAGAGCTGTCTTCGCCGCATCACTCTATCCTTCGGTCCTCAAGGTTCCAGCAGGACCAGCCCAATCAAAGCGGTCAAGTCCTCGTAACCCAGTGCATTCAGGCCATCAAGATTTTTGCAGCAAATGTATTCATGATTTGCTGTACCTGCCAAATGTTGAAGCTGGTACAACATCTTCGTATGAGGCCTTCATGCAGAACATACCTAGCCAGCTCTGCATGGCGCTAAAGTGACATGACGGCACTCCTCACTCAACGGCCAAGAAACTGCTATGTAATCCCTTTCACTTAAACATAGCAAGGCCCTAAACTGTTTTTCAGAAGCTTCAATGGGCACAGTCTCTAACTCTCAAGCACACGTCCTGGCGGACTCCCAGCATTCAGCCGTACTGGAGCCTCCAACAGCCCGAGCTGCCTCCCATCATGGGGATCACGAGCGAGTTGCCCAAAAGTAGGGGTACGTTTTTGAGAACTCCTATAAGATGGATGATCGCATTTGGCAACAGTTGCGTTCCCGTCCATTCACGTCTAAATGGAAACTACCACGGAGGTCTTTGCGAGGACGGCTTTGTCTTTGACAGGATTATGGGCATCAGTAAAACTTGTGCTGCGGACAGTTTAGGGTATGAGTGGAATGCAGGGATGATGGCAGAGGATCAAAGAGATGGTTGCTCCTTAGCAGCATTGAAAGATGGAAGTGATCAGTGTAAGCTTGTATTCGGGAAGGTGAAAGCCTGGGGATGATTCTGAGGAATAGAAGGCGCGTGAATTGTTGGCACGGCTCTCTCGACAACGGTTACCGTCAGCATTGTCGTGCAATTATCCGTGGCATCATGTGGGCGACCGATGGTGTTGAAGGGGTTGCTGGTTTGGGAGTGGTTAGAGTCATTATCAAATCTACTGTTGGAATTGGAATGGTTTTAACCTTCTTTGGAAGGATCTAGAGAGAGTCACAGGGATTCGAATGTTTGCCTGATACCTGGACCAGTTTAGTAAAACATGTCTTTGTGACTGCGTGACGTGACTGCAAATCAAGAATGATGGACATAACAATCATGATCGTGGCACGGAAGTGGGAGAACCGGTCAGTGTCTCGTATCCAGGTTCATGCAATATTCACAGGGATCCTGGCTTTGGCACAGTAGAAGCAAACTATTAGTCCACCCCAGCATGACGTGACTTGGAAGTCGGACATATGGTTCTCAGATTGATGGTGCACTCATTGTCCTGTCTTTGAAATTAGCTTTGAGCCTATTCAGGGCTAACATGCTTTGACGGGCCCAGCGTATTTCCACAACATGCCACTCACCACACGGTTGTTCCTCTGAAGTTCCCGAAAAACCCTCCTGGTGCTCAGGGATGCATGGAGCGCTGGCTTCGCAGGCAGCACGCTCAGTGCGGGCAGCGCGGGCAGGTGCTCGCGAGATGTTGGCACGAGCGACACAAGTGTGTAAGTGAAGTACAGGGAACATAGGCCACCTTGGTTCTGACTTTGAAGACACGTCCAACGCGAGGCTCACGAAGTCTAAAGCAAGAGCGAAATCAAATGCCACTTCAGCTTGGACTGCACCAAGCAACACAGGATGGCACCACCTTTGGCCCAGCCAACGGAAGAGCAGGTTTTGCTGCCATGGCGCCCCATCTACTCCCAAGAAAGAGTCTGGGCAGGAATCCCTGCACACTCAGCCCACTGCAAGCCTTCGAGTGCATATATAGCCTCTACTAGGGACCTGAACGTTGACAAGAGTGATGAAGCAAACTCTGGCACGCAAACTGCAAACCTCACGCATGAGAGTCTACATCTTGCGGCTTCCGGTCATGTCTGCACCCAGCGTACTCCAAACCTTTGTAAACTGCATATGTACTTTCTTCCGCCCAAGAACAGAGCCGTTTGCTGATGGCGGGAGGTAAGCTTCGTAAGTCTTGAGCCGCAGCGCCAAGTAGTAATTATTGGACAACAATTGCTATAACTACTTTCGTGTAGTGGAATCGAATTTCATTTGCCCTCTCCTAGGGCCAACTTGCAGTCCTCTGCTCTGAGCTTTTTCCTTACCACACCTTTGCTGGCCCCTTGAGACGAATAGGCTAGAACAAGGACAATTATGATAGAAGCCGAAATAGATTGGCATATGGTTCGCAAGGATGGGTGTTGGCAATCCTGCCAGCCCCTTGCCGGGTGCTTGGGGAACCTGGGAGCTCTGGGTGACATCCTGTTTCGCACCGCCTGCTAAGATCTCGCAGGGGCTCCAGTCAGACTGCTGCCTGACCACTGCTTAGAGTTGATGTGTGAAGTAGAAGAACAAGCATGGGATTGTTGCGATGGCTAGCCGCCAGCAGCAAAGACAACCACCATCAACACTGAATGAGACTTACACGGACGCTGGCACTACAGGTACTTAACCCCATGCTCACACTGGCATTCGTTGATGTTGCGCTTACTGTTGGACTAGCACCACGAACTCATTGCAGTGATCACGGCCTATGCAGCGACTAGACAAATGCGAGCTCTACCTGAGCAGCCATTTTCGCTTTGGAGGCGGAGCAAGTAAGCTTCAGTTCTGAGCACTCATAAGCACTCATCTGAATAGTCATAATTAGTATGGGCTGTACTGTCGCGTGTTAAGCGTTTGTCCTGGAGACCTGCGCGTTGTGAGGCTAAGTGCAGTAAAGTATGCGTTCACGAAGAATGTGCATGATTAGGTAAGCCATACTCCTTGCAAGCAGCCCAACTTGGACTCAGCAGTAGAAGAGATCTCAAACCCATCAGTACACCACAAACATCGAACAGCCACCACCTCCCGGAACCCAGGCTCCTTGTCCTAGATCTAATTTAGACTAATCCAGCAGGACTGAAAGGCGAAACTCTGTTCCCAGAATCGCTGCTCAGCTTGGCTCACACCCGTTGCTTCTTCTTCGCCACATCTTTGCGACCCTTTGCCGGGAGGGGCTCCTCCAGGTGTTGAAAAGAGGCCTAGAGCCGAAGCTCAGTGAGAACAGCTCCATGGAGAAAAACATATAGGAGTAGCAATAGCTGCGAAGGTAGCACCAGCGCATTAGGACTGCAACTGGATTCACCATCATCCTGAGAACGGTGTGCATAACAGAAACGCGGGCACATACGATGTCAGCACCACTGGGAATAGCTTCATCAACTAAATACATGTTTATTGCTTTGCCGCAGTAGTCACAGCAATGTCGCGAACAAGTGCAGTAGCAACAGCTATCTTTTGTTGGGGGAGTTTGACATGCGCGGCCCCTTCAGAAGCTAGATCCACCTTATGGGTGCGTATGGCTCCATGTATGAGCTCCAGACACTCGTTACATCAAATTCTTCACACAACGCCGGCCATCCAAGATCTCAAAAAAAAGAGCACCATGCGGACACAATCTTCTCAACAGAAATCAAATTCAAAATGCTGTTGCAGGCATTGACTCAAAACGCTGCGTTTGAGGAGAGTATGTTCCTCCAGCAAACTTAGCGTTAAAACCCTAAACATTGAAGCCTCTTTAGCCCTGAGCCCTACGTCCTCCACCGCAATGGGATCCACACCCTACACCAAAGTTTGTGAAGCCCAAGAAGGCCTCGCTGCTCACTTTCCGCTTTGCCGGCCTCTTCAGGTCCTTCTCCTTCGGAGGTGGCGCTCGGTCCTTTTGCTTTGCATCGCTCGGGAGTTTTTCACAGTAAGGGCCTGTGACAAGGATACTTGTATTCTGGGTATGTAGGGCGACCCGAATTTGATCAGGGTTGCTTGTGATGCCCTCCTTTCGCAGCAATGGGGTGGGTGTCCACGCCTGGTATACCTTTTGAAAAGAAGTGAGAGTACATCTTGACAAGAAAAAACTGGATCTCTGCTGAGGGGAACGGGAAGAGCAGTGGCAACAGCTGCAGTCGGAGGATGGCTGGTGTGGCGTTGGCAATGGCGGGGCCCTGCTGTCCTCGCACTCCTCTTAATAACTCCTGCTGTGCTGCTGCTTCTGAGCTGCCAAGCTAGCACCGCTACGTCGATGAATTGACAAAGGGGGATGAGAATGGATTAAACAGCTGGGCTTGGCAGCCCTAGGCCGTGCAAGAAGTAGGACGCTGTAACGAATGGAGATTAGCACGACCTGCTGCATCTCAGGCAAGAAATGCAACTTCGAAAGCCAGGGTGCAGTATCTTTTTCGGGGTCCGAAGCTCAAGGATTTGAGTGACAATGGTCAACGTGCTGCAACCCAATTTTTCCGAACTCACGGGCAACTCAATCCTATGGAACGACTTGAGATCCACAGTCCAACCAAGCTGTTTCCTTGAGCTTCTTGTTTTTCGTCTCCTTGTCCTTGCTGACAATCTCAGCTTCCTTCAGTTTTGCCTTTCAAGTTTGCTGCAGAAGTAAGGACAGCAGCAGTAGCACAGGTAGCAGCGACATTGAAGCAACAGTTGGCACGGTGGCGGCGGCAGGGCGGCTGCTGCTGCTGCTGCTGCTGCTGCTGCGGCGGCGTCATAGCAGTAGTAGTAATAATGATAGTAGTAGTACTCGTAGGTGTCACGCCCACTCAGTGCCGGAATATTTGTTGGAAATTACAGGTCGAAATGCAGTTTGCAGAGGCCGTCGCCTACGAAGATGTTCTTAAAGGGGCTACTTAAGCAGGTATGCACCGAGTGAGCGCGGATCATACTAAGCCCATACTCTGGAAGAAGTTTTGGGGGGTAGTACAGGGACGCATTGAGAGTAGTTATACCAAGCCCATACTATGAGGAAAATTTCTGAAGGTAGTAGAGGGACCCACCCAAAATACCAAGGCAATACAATCGAATATAGTACTAAGCCCACACTATGAGCAACCTGAACCCAAAATCCCTTGTCCCAAAACGCTCAACCCCTAAACCCTAAACTGAACCCTAAACCGTAAACCGCGTGACACATCGGGCTTCTAAGGTGTAGGGTCAGAACAGGCGTTTGTTACCTTCAACCCAAAACGCGCAGTGTATACACGCTCATCGCAACTGCCCGGGAATATCGTTAAGTTGTGGTTTTGGTATCGATGCTCTAATGACCGTATGCGCGCAGAACATGAAAGTTATTATGGTTTGGGCATGGCTGCTCTAGTGACCGTACGCTCTTGGAACATGGGCGTTGTTATGGTTTGGCTTGGATGCTCTAGTGACAGTATGCGCTTGGAACATGGACGTCATTATGGTTTGGGCATGGATGCTCTAGTGACCGTATGCTCTTGGAACATGAACGTTATTATGGTTTGGCATGGATGCTCTAATGACCGTATGTTCTTGGAGAACAAAAACCTTTATTATGGTTTGGGCATGGATGCTCTACTGACCGTACGCTCTTTTGGAACATGAACGTTATCATGGTTTGGGCATGGATTCTCTAGTAACCGTATGGTTATTGGAACACGAATGCGAACGTCCCACGGCACCGAGTGGGCGTGACACCTACTCGTAGCACAACTAGTACTAAGTACTAGCAGCAATTGTAGTCGTTGTAGTAATGCTAGTTGTCGTTGTGGTAGTAGTAGGGGGCTCCCACTACCATGTTGGATGTTGCGGTACAGGGATGGGGGAGAAGGGGACTAAAGGGGGAAAAGGGGAGGGTGGAGATAATTTTTGCCTTGCGGGAGACATTACGGGAACAACCATCCAGAGTTGTTCCTTGTTTGCCTTACTCTCTCAGGAAAGCTAGTCCGAGTCACACGCAGCGCCTTACAAAGCGAAGCCTTAATCGTCAAGCCTATTCACATTTCAACTAACCAAAATTTAAGGCATGTCTCGGTCCCTGAGGATGCCATGGCTCACTTTAGTAGTAGTAGTAGTAGTAGCAGTAGTAGTAGTAATAGTAGTAGTAGTAGTAGTAGTAGTAGTAGTACCCACGCGGCGTGTTTCCGACGGTGTGTTATCTGTCACTGTTTGTCACCAACATCGTCCTTTTACTATGGGAAAGCCAGATTTTTGCATTTGCTTGCCCCGGTGTTTCCGACGGTGTGTTTATCTGCCACTGTTTGTCACCAGCATCACCCTTTTTGCTTTTTTCTCATTTGTTTGTCCGGCGTTGCCAGGTCTAAAAACGCGTTGTTTCGCCTTTTCGCTTGGGTTTTAAACACATTTTGAGTTGAAAGATGCAACATGTACATACCCTTCAGGCATTTGCTAGATTCTGAGCTCTTTTTATATATATTTCTTTTCAGAGTTGGATCATGAGGACGTTATACATCCGGGCTATACAACACTCTGGTGGCAGAAGCACAGTTACAACTAGTGCCGACAGAAAAAAAATCAGAACTACCATGCAATGGTAGGACCCTGCCAGCGTGTTCCAAGCTACGCCCCATTGGCCCAAGGATCGGCTCGTGTTCCAAGAGCATACGGTCACCCGAGCATCCGTGTCTAACCATAATATGACGTTCGTGTTCCAAGATTCAGCTTCCGTAAGCATGTGCGAACATGGCCGAATTTGACACATGAAAAATGCCTCTCGTGCTAGGGTGGTTGTCACTTTTGTACTCGCACCTGGGTTTTTTAGACCTGGCAACGTGGCTTCAGCACACCTGACCAAGCCTTTCATAATTAGCCTCCCGTGCTGCTGGAACGGTCATGACTCTTGAGGACGCATGTGTTCTGGGTCGTGCATTTGGACCCACCGTCAGATTCCAAATTCGCGTCTAGTAGTAGTAGTAGTAGTAGTAGTAGTAGTAGTAGTGGCAGTAGTAGTATCAGTAGTAGTATCAATATCCATATCAGCAGTCGCAACAGTAGCAGCAATAGCTATAGCAGCACAGTAACAATACCCATAGTCGTAGTGGCAGTGGTGGTTGCAGCAGCACGACTGGTAGAACTAGTAGGACTGGTCGTGGTACAACAGCTACAGCTAGTGCTACTACTACCACCACTACTACTACCACCCCACCAACACCACCAGCGCCGCCACCGCCCCCACCCAGTGCTAACTATCACCCCTAGAAACACTGGCAATACTGGGCGCGGCCTTCGTCTTGCCAGCCTTGTTTCTAGCTGGGGGCTCCAGTGATCCATTCTCCTCTGCCTGGAGTGCAACATGACTATCGCCAAGCAGCTCGATGAAATGCCTTACATCTACGTGCACAGTGCTGCTGTTTGGGGTCTGTGAGTACCGTGCATGAAAGAAGGACACAACAATAACTATGGAGATGTTGAAGGGCTCTTTACGACAGGATGCCATGCCAAAAGCGCCCAGCGGGCATAATGGGCGTGTAGCACACTGTGCCGAAGCAAAGGCTTCAAGACATGGATGGAACATCTGCTCCGAACACGAACATGAAGGATGTGCTGGCTCAGCATGTTAGAAAGGATGAGCAAAAACACGCAAGACTTGCAGCGGTACCTTCCTCATCGTAGCAGGTATGAACACGCCACGGCTCCTCGGTATTAATCACTTTTACACATGCATAATCTAAGCTGTTTGTCTCAATATTGCTTGTAACCCCAATAACATGTGAGTGATGTTTCCTTTGTCTTCCTTCGAGAATCCAGACGCAAGCTGCAACAACCTATTGTCCTTTCCAAAATACCTCTAAGAGACACGACAAAGCTTACACCCTATCTTGGTTCTGGTGAGGGGCGAGGGCCACCTCGGCCTCACGCCGTGATTTGCGCATCACGCGCAGTGTGGCTTCACGGTCCTCCAATTGCAAGAATATTTCTTTTGGGAGGAGTAGCTTGGGAGCGCCTAGGAATCTTTCCGGGAACACGCGCTGAGAATCCAAGTTTTGCGGGGCGTGCAGGCTACCAATACATGGCACATGTTCAGAAGCAAAAAACCCTCAACCCTAAATAGTAGTTTCCATTTGCTTCTCCATTATGCCCTGTATAACCCCCCTATAACCCCTAATTATGTATGTGCAAGATGTTGCAAGTGATGCAGGTGTTGTCCTCCCGCGCCCGCAAGCGCATACCCCGGAGCTGGGCTCTATGTGGAGGCAGATCCTGCACGGAGTGAGGTGTCGGGTGGGGGGCAGGGCCCTGACATCTGGAGTGGAGGGCATCCCAATACCTTGGCTTGGTCAGCAAGGTACTGATACTGGTATGTTTCGCCCTGCTGGTACAGGGGTCGTGGAGTCAGCGCACGAAGGACTGTCGAATAACGGAAAAAGAACTTCTGCCACGAACAAAGACAAATGGCGCTCCGAACACATCATGCAGATATCTCTGGACTAGCAACTAGGCATCAAGCTACTTGCGCCAACGTGGTCTTCCAATAAGTGTATTAATTCCCAGTCTGGATGCATGGTCATCGCCCAGGTCTGTTTCCTCCTCCCAGTACTATAACCCGTCAACAGCCTGGCGACGAATACCCCCGGCATGATACCATCATACATTGGGCAGCTCTTTATCATCAGTCCAAGGGCCCTCATGCCTGTGTCGTAATATGAGGCTATTGATCCGATAGTTGGGTTGCTGCAGAGGACCTTAATTGTAAGAACAAATAGTTCATTATGTACCTATGGTGTGATGACTGAAGCTGCGTTCCTTTCTACCTTTCTTACTCAACAGCAGTCCACACAACCCTGCCATCAGCTTGCTGCTGGTAGTAAGGGGAATATAGGATAGGAACATAATCCCCGTACAACAAGTTGTTCCCTGATAAGGCAACCAGGCTCCTCTTCTGATGGCTCCTCGCCTGGTGCATCCGACGCGGGCTCCTGTGGGGCCTGGGGGTTGAGGGTTTAGGGCTTAGGGTGGACAATGGAGAATCGAAAGAATCGAAGAGAACTCAAAATAAAAAACTAAATGAAAACTGAGATCTCAGTTGAGGTCCCCTCACCTAAGCTAAAATGGAGACCACGAAGGGGGAAAGGGGGCCGTCTGGGACTTCGTGGTAGTGTCGCTGAGTGCAAACACCTTGATGTCACTCGACCCTTGTCCTAAGTTTTCAAAAGCTTCCCAAATGGTGGGATTATGGATGGCCTAGAGAGAGACCAACAGGGAAATTGAGACATGAAGTAAGCATGTGAAAGCCCTCACCAAAAAGCAAAACCGACAATTTCAGCAGCGAAAAGCAGTCAACAAATACAGGGAAGCAAGCACTGGGCCACAACAATTGTTCCAAGCTAAATCATGCCAAGAAAAGTTCAGGGGCACTGAGCTCTTGGTGCATACGTTTACCGAAGCCTAAAATGGTACCCATGACTAAGCTGCTTGAATTGCCGTGGCTACCAGCCTCCTCTTCTTCCTCCTCCTGCACAAGGGCATTCCGAGCCTTGTTCTTCTTCGACTTCTTGTCCTGACTCTTGATCATTCATCTATTGACAAGGTGTGTATGTGTGTAAAATGTGTCCATGCAACAGCGAACGCCTTGTACGGTCATAGAAAAAGGAAATGCATACACATGTACATATATACACACACATAGATATATGTGTGTGTACACAAGCGCCACATAAACCAATTGTATGATGTGTGCAGCACAAGATGTTCTGAATTGCAAAGTGCCCGTACAGAGGTCCAGCACCTCCTAAGCTCAAGTGTTGACATTGGGGCTGCTGCAGCAGAACATCATCGCTGCAACCCAGTCCTTCTTCTGCTTCTTTTCGCGCTCATCCTTCTTATGTTTGGTCTTCTTCTCCTTCTTCACCCTGAACTCCTATTTCGAAAAACAAGCTGGCACACGTGCGCGTAATGGCTAGCAACAATGCGCTTGATCGAACGGGATGTGCAGTGTGGCAGGCCAGTCCATACATGCAAGTCAAGAAGGCCGTCCTCCTCCGCCCCCTCCTCAAACTCTCCCCCGCTGACTTCCTGCAAGGGCTTTATGGCAACAGGTCTTCAAACTTTTGATGCAGACTCATAACAGAGGTTCCCACATTATATGTCCTCAAGATTCAAGACTTTGGAGCACCAAAGCCGAAGCCCAATGCATCCAAGCTCGAGTACGCACTGCATGCATGGCATGGGATAGCCGGCAAGGTGACGCGGAGCACTGCCAGTATGGATGCAACTTCAACTTCCAGTATGTGCAGTCACGATGCACCGATTTCAACTGTTAGTTTGAAGGTGCAACTGGCTAAAACAGGCTTTGAATGCAAGATGTTCAGGCGGCCAAACAAACTGCGGCCAAAAAGCCAAGCTCCAGACCCTTGCTGCAACTCTACATTTTGCGCAGCTCCTCCTCGCACTGACTGTCCTTCAGCTTAGACTTCTTTTCCTCGCGCGGCTTTCTTGGTTGGGAGGTTTACATTGATAGGCAAGAGAATCCGCACTTTAGGCAGTTTGGCAGGCGGGCGCAAGGTTTCCACTTCAAACTTCAAACTGTTAATGTCCTTGTGCTTCTTTTTCTTCTTCTTTTTCTTTTTCTTGGCCGCGGCCTCCTGCACGGCTTGCACGCAAGGCTGAGGTTGCATGAACAAGGACTTGAGCAACTGTGAAGTGTGGTGTCAGTCGATCTGGCTGACCGCCTTCTGTGGTGATGATAGCGCGTAGCACGCACGGCCACCAACACACACACACACGCTTGGGCACATCGTGCTGTCAGGTTGACTCATTCCGTGCGGTCCTCCTCATCCTCTTCCTCCTCTTCTTCCTGATAAAGCATTGCAAGTTTACAAGTTTACATGCTGATGAAGCTCAAGTTCAGATGTTGCTCGACGTTATGTAGCACATGAATTGCCATATGAACCACCTTTGGGCGCACCGGAAGCCATGAGCGCTGCAAGCGGCCTCCTTCTCTGCCATTTCCTCCTCATCCTCCTCCTGGAATTCTTGTGGCTTCTTGCCTGCACGCAGAAGATTTGCACTAGACAGACCCCCGGCTCTAACACAGGGAACTTCCAGACGGGCGGTTGGGTTGGGGCACGCCTGGGTGTTTCCTGCCGTATGAGCCTGATATAGCCTTTTACATCTCCTAGTCTCCCCCTACAAGCCCTATATCAGCATTATGTCACTGTACTCGCCCGGTAACTGCCCACTGAAATGCATATCTGGCAGTCTTGAGATGGCAGCCGTGTGGCCGAATCTGCTGCAGGCACATGCACTTGATCGCTGAAACTACTGGAGGGGGGGAGTGTATCTGGGGTCTCTAAGGGGCATATAAGGTTTATGGTGGGTTATATAACCTCCCCTCAAATTAAATTCTCCCAACCCGCTCAATGTCAAATACCGCCTCCATGACATGAGGTCTCTCATATCTCATATGGGCTATTTTTGCAGTATCAAGTTGCGGGAAGAGCACCAGACACCAGACAACAAAGACTTATTGACAAACCTCGCGAAGACATAGCACTCAGCATTAGTTTGTGAAGTAACGTTGTCGGCCTCACAGACGAGCCGCCCGCTGATTGTGAAGCAGATTTGATAGACGATATTCCTTTATGGAGATAAACTCCACTAGGCCTTCTGCCGCAACTACCTACTTTACCACTCGTGTGTCGTACACTACAGCCTTGAGCCTCAACAATGAGAAACCCATCATATGCAAACGCCTGGGCTTAACCTCTCAGCTCCGTACCCTGCATGCCACTGGCCAAACGATCTGGCCGTTTGCGCGTCCTTCAACGTACACCTAGAATCCTTGTCCAAGAACGTGAAGGTTCAGAAATATTCTTGCAACAGGAACAGAAGGGTTTATGTGTCCAAGATTGAGGGCCTAGCGAGCTTCTGAACATAGATACAGGATGCAGATCTTATGATCTTTTGGTCACGATGCATTCCTTTGTTTTCTTTTTGGTGGTGGCTGGTGACTTCCATGTCTACCAGTCCTGCCAAATTCCAATGGCGACACAATCGCCACACATCCTCAGGCAGCCCCAAACAGTCCCTGGCGTGGCCTTTCTTTGTCTTTGTGGGCTGCTCCTCCTCGTCATCTCGAGCCTTCAGCTTGGCCTTCTGCTTTATGTCCTCTTGCCTTGCTGTCTGACGAAAGAAGCTACACTGACCGAAAATACACGCATATCTCAAAGATAGTGGTCGGATGCAATACACGGATGGGGCCCACAACTGGCCTTTCCGGCTATACCAGACAAAAGCCATGCCAGCAATAAGAACGAAATGGTAGACAGCTGCCATTTCTCCACGGCCCTAGAACTTAAAACCCGAAACTTGGCCAGGGTGCTTCTCCTCCACCTGTGGCTCAGGCTCTTCGTCCGACGGTTCGCCTTTGAAGGCTCAGACACTTGCTAGCTTGCCTTTTGGTTGGTTGGTGCTATAGTTGGCCTCACACAAACTTTGCATGGCCGACGTGCGGTTTAGACTTGGATTACACAGGGATGACATGTGGGGGGGGCTCTGATGGAACAGGGACAGCAGGAGGATCATCATCAATGATTTTGCAATTTTTGCATGGTTGTCAATGACCCAAATCTGTCGACGCCCGAAGCGTTTAGGTGGGGGACTGCCTTGTCCAACAGAAAAGTAGACACATCCACCAGGATGCCTGTGGCCTAAATGTTAGCGCTGAGCTGGCGTTCTGCTGGCTGTGTAAAAGGGACTTGCTGCATCCTGTCGGGGGGCACCTCATAACGACTCAATGTAAGGTTGGTCTCTCCTCTGCTTAAAGTTGCCCGCAAAACTGTTGAGCGCAGGCCAGATAAGTCTGCACTGGTCTTGAAATCATGAGGACAATACTGTTAACCCGCCCTTAAGGCACGGGCCATTTGAGGCAGCCCACCTCCCTTTAGAGGCTGTGAGACTTTATTATGGGGCTGAGGTGACTTTCAGTGCAGGGGGCAGCAGTTCTTCTTCTTGAAGCGTTTCTGAAAGTCAGGGCTCTTGTCCATACATTGCTCTTGCTCTAGGTTGCATTTTTCTGGAGCCTATACGCAAAAACTTGTGGACAAACAATAACAACGATTAACCTTCCATGGCGAGCTGGCAGTCAATACTTGCACCTAAACGATGACTGCCCTGATCCTTGGTCCCCAAAGGGATATTTGGGGTTATGGAAAGGGTTTATGATATTGCCACTCACGGACAATGAAATCGAAACTGGGATGGCGTAGGGACTTTGGACTTAAGGGAGAGGTAACCAGAAACCAGGTAGGTATACAGCGCAACTCGATACATTCGTGCCATCCATAAGGTTCACCACAAAGGACTTTAGTGCGCTCCCTGGATATAACTTGCAACTTTCCCTATCTAGTCTAGATCTGATGTGACTCTTGTTAGCCTAGACCCACTTCATCCTCATTCGATCCCTAGTTTTGTAGCTCTGTCCACATAACTCGGCATTGAAGGGAAATCCTGCACCACCCTGTCCTCTGAATTCTTGGACCAAGGTCAGAAGTTCTGATACCTGCTGATAGTTTAGTTGCCGTAACTTCTGCTAGATTCCCTCCATCAACAGTATGACCAAAGAAATGCGCTTTCTGCCGCCAGGCCGCCCACATCTGTGAGCTCCCGCTCAGGATCGGGGTCATGGGCCTTTCGGGATGATCCAGGACAGCAATTGCATGTAGCCATCACGATCTTTACACAAAGGGGACCATCACAGCACTGTCAGAAGCCTAGCTTGAAATAGCTTATTGCCCGCGAAATGGGCATTTCACAAAAACAGTGTCCTTGTCACTATACTCTGACACATATTCTACGATGCTTGCTACACGTGCCCATGATGGATCCACAACACTGAGACACCCGACTTAAAAGGAAGGTGCTTTCGGCGGATAAACCACGTAAAGCTACCTTCTTGGATCAACATCCTGTGCCCAAGATGAGGATGTAATCTTATCCATATTGGGGAGCAGAGTATCCCTATCAAAACCACTCAAGTTCCATGAGATGCCTGGGCAGTGACCCGCATGCCCTCTTCTTCGTCATCCTCTTCTGCGATGGACGTTGCCGGGGGCTCTTCCTGCGCAGTGGCCATGTAAGCAATTCTGAAAGCCTTGGCTCCTCTGACCCTTGGTAAGTGTGAGGGTTCTAATGGATCTATTCATCAGAATTCCAGGTGGGTAGTTTCACGCAGGTACCCTCATTTTATAAGGCCTACATGCACTTCATGTTATATACCTTCATACAAGCACTATTATATGAGCCTTGTGAAGGAGTACCCACCTGGTAACTACCCACCTGGGGGTGGGAGTCATTGGGGAGCGAGGTAACCTTTTTCGGGAGCTCTCATGTCCCGAAATACAACGCATACAAGCTTCCCCCTCTACAGTATATAAGAAGAAGCGGAGTACCAGGAATTACAACACCATCAGCAACTCTTGCATTGCTACTGTAAACGCCTCTACTACTTTCTTTGTAATCTCCATGATCCCAGGATACCTGAGGGGCCCCCTGTGTTGATACGCCACCCCATTTAAAGCTACCTTCAGAGCATGAAGGCCCAGCTCCAGGCGCCTCTGAGTCTGGTGCTAATGAAGTGGCCCTCGAAGGCACTGGAGATTTTGCCCGCGCGAAAGGATCCTCGGGTTAAAGTGACTCTTTGCTTGGGAGGGTTTAGGGTTCAGCGCCATGAAAAGGCTTGACCAGGCCTCAGCAAGACTTTGCAGGCTGAAACGAATTCAAGCCCTGTCCTTCTCAACGAAAGGCATTCTCAGCATACTCTTTTTTGTGCTACACGGGGGAATTAAATCCTTTTTGAAGCGGGAAGGCTTTTGTTCGTGTTAGGGGCCCGTCAGATTCAGCTAAAGTGTGGAAACTCGTGTGTGACAAATCCAGCCCAAGCTTCGAAAGTCCAGTCGACGATGCGCCAGGTCTCCGTCCTGTAGGATTGCGGAAGCTAGCTCCCCTCAAGACAAAGTTCTTTCACAAGGGGCCTATGTGGAATTCCCTCCGTGTTTGAGGGAGGGCATGATCCAGGGCTTACATCAGGTGAAGTGGGAAGAGAACCCCACAAGCTCCTTGTATTCTTTCTGTGCGCCTAGAACGTCCTTACACATAGATAGACAGATAGATAGCCATAGAGCAGATCCCAGACAAAAAATGGTGATAGGTTGCAGATCTTACACGGCACTTGGTGGCACCCCATTTGCCCAAACGATGTCCTCCCATCAGGAGTCTTATACACGACATTCTCTGGCCCAACGCTGATTGTTCCAGTATCCGGGTCAGAGGCATCGTACAGCATGCTGTCCTTAGCCGTCCAGTTCATGTGCGAAAGATGTGAAAGGCTTCTGATAAGGGTTGCCGTACAAAAGCTGTTGAAAAAAGAGGGTTTACCCTAAGCGCCAGCCTACACTTTCCAAGCTCTTTCCCTACACTGTAATGCCCCGACTGATCCAAATTTTCCCAAACCTGGTAACCGCTGTAAGGCTTTAGTTGTAGCTACAAGAAACTATAAGGTACTGCTCGATTGCAAATTAGGTTTTCCCTGCCTAGCCCTTGGCCCCATAGACCACTACATAGCCCGAGTTTCATTTTGATGTTCCATGTTCTTTTCTGTTCGATTTCCCATAATTGATTGGTTATAAGTTGGACTTTCCCTGGCTAGCTTCAAGCCCGCAACCCCAAATGAGATGGCATGTTTGTTCCTTTTCCATTGTGACTTGAATTCTTCCCTACCTAGGCCTAAGCCCCAAAACCTAATTAGGCCTCAACTCAGCATCCGCCTCGGGGCAGCGGGATTTCTTGCAGGTCCGCAGCTGTCCAGGCTCCTCGACTACACCTGGGTGGATGAAATCAGTCAGGCTTGTAGCGTAACGAGCTACTTAAGTAGAATGGTATGGAGGTATACACGGGTTACAAGGGACGGATGTTTGTCATTGTTCAGGTTTCTGCAATAAAAAGGTTTGCAGCCTGTTGGTGTAAATCGCGGAATGGACATAGTCGTGGGTTTGGGGTGTGCCAGATGCCTTCTTGGAGGTGCTCATACGAGGGACTACCTCACTTTGAAGGTACATAGAGAGACGCAAACTCTGAGACATGCCCAAAAAAAGACCCCGCATCTTGAAACTGTCCCTAGGCACCAAACACGGCCTCATACAGATTGTTGAGCTCTTTGTCAACTTCAGACTTGCCGCGGATCTGTCGCAGTTGTGCCAGAGACTGGCAGTAGGCACTGGCAACAGTTCCCTTGCCCTGGGACGGTCCGAGGATCCTTGCGAAGCGCATTCCCACGAATATCCAGAGCCCGTACCTGGGTTTCCATTGGGATGAGTATGTAGATTCTAACTTCTGCTGTGTATGATGCATGTAGCCTTCACTCCAAGGAATACTCATGAACTCTTCTACTGTAGCTCCAGTCAGTATATTACAAGCGTAGTGAAGGGGCCCTTCAGCTCATTATGGAATGTACAAGTTAAAGGCTGACTAATCAGTGTTGATCGCTTCAAGGACAACGCTGTGCCCACCGTCTTTCTTCAATCGCAACGTTGATATTGACGCGATTAAATACTCCAGACTCACACATTTCCGCGCACCTGTGATCTTGTTGGAAAACGTCTAATTGCTGGTGTCAACATGCCACCCTTGTTCTCTGTACTTCCAGGAACACGTATGACGCTCTTCCAGGCACCCCAAAACTGTGTGGAGCCTTTTCCCAAGGGTTGACGCACCCGAATAACAGATACTTAGGTTCCAGAGCGTACAAGTAGTCACCATCTGGATGCAAAGCACGTACTTTTTCCCGAATGCGTAGCAGAAGGGTTCCCGTCTTAAGGTTGGGGTCCAGGGGTCAGGGGTCCAGGAGTCGACGCGAGG